CTACTGAAACACACGAAGGAAACTCATAAAGGTAAAAATGATCTATTACATTAATGTCATGTCACTATTGACCCTTATGACCAACAAGATAGACTAGATTTTTTTTTCTCCAGACCCTACTAAATTCCTCCCTCCAAAAAAAAGTCAACCCAGAAGAGGAATTATGTGGCATAAGTAGAACAAATATAGATAAATCCACAGCACAAGAAAGCCGCTGAACCCCGACAAGTAGCAGCCTAGCAAATTAGCATTGGAGATCACTAATACTTAAGTGCTCATTCAGCATTTTTCTCCTCCTCTGTCAGCTCCCATCCTCCAGCAGAGTGTACAGACTGGTCCATAGGCTTGTACCTAAGACCCACAAAGGGATTCCCAACCTATTGTGGAGATTGCCAGCACCACCACCACCACCACCCCACACCCCCCTCACCTCCCACTGCTTATTCCCCGACACTGATGCACAGAGCAATAAGAAGACTGCCTATCTAGTAGAGAGGGGTAGATTAGAGGGGAGGAAGAGATTGAGCTTTCTTCTATCTGGAATGGCTGCTATGATAGGGAACCTTGAAGCATGCAGAATCTGCCCAGAAGATCCGTCTTCTCCTCCCTAATGCCCTGCAAAAAGTGGTAGAAACCGATTCAGCTTAGCCAAAGAAGGAAAGAATGAGAACTGGGGATGGAACTAAGGCGGGGGTAGTTTGAGAGGCTGCACTGAACCTGAAGGAAAGGAAACAAATCTAATTGGGGCCAGTCCCGTCTTCCCAGAAGCTACTATGCTTCTTACAGCACAGACCAAGATCAGTGAAAAGTAAATTCCCCAATATTGGAGTAAGCTGAGGCAGTTCCACACTCCATCCCTAGGGGTATGTGTACTGTTAAAGAGGAGGAGGAATCATAAAGTAATTGATGGGAATATTATGACGAAAGACTAAAACCAATAGAAGTTTCAAAAGGAAGAAAATTCTGTAAGTAAAGCTCATAAAACAAAGCAAATTGAACCAACACCTGATAAACACAGAACCTTGTGGAATCCTAAGAGAGTATAGGTAAACAACATGCTATTCCCAGAATGGTTCACAAGAAATTAAAAGTACATAAAAAGGATAGTAGAAGAGAACAGATATTCTAACTTAGAAGCTGCACAGCTGAAATAATTAGCAGTATAGAAAAACTTGAATCCATGATATCAAGTCTCTTCAAATAAAGAATAGATCAATAAATTGGGTGTGCAACTAAAAAAAGCTAGAAAACAAATTTTAAAAATCCATTTAAAGATCAAAATAAAAATTCTGAAAATCAGTGGAACAAATCAGGTTCACAACATAGAAGCAAATGATCAGAGTAGTCTAGTTTGACAAATACCTCCATCATGGTGATAAGAACTCACTATCTGACAAAAACTGCTGGAAAAATTTGGAAGTAGTGTAGCAGAAACTAGTAGCAGACTGCTAACTCACACCATATACGAAGATAAGCTCCAAATGGGCACACAATTTAATGTAAAAGTTCATATCATAAACAAATGAGGAGCAAAGAAGATTGATTATCTCTCAGATTTATGGATAGGGTAACAGTTCATGACCAAATAAAGGATAAAGAGAATCACAGAAGATAAAATGGATAATTTTCATAAAATTTAAAAGTTTTTACATAAAACCAATTAGAAGGGAAAATGGAAACTTGGCAGGGGTGGGAGGAGGGATCTTTGTAGCAAGTTTTTCTGATGAGGTCTCATTTCAAAGGAACTAATTCAACTTTATAAGAACAAATTATTCTTCAATTGGTAAATGATTTGTGGTCAAAGGATATGAATAGGCAGGCAGTTTCCAGAGGAAGGCAGCTTAGAAGGTTGGCAGGAAAGGTCTGTCTTACTGGGGTAAGAGGGGAGTGCAGTCCAGCACATGCCACTTACCAAGCTAGCAGTGAGGCCTTGAGCTGCTAGAAAGCCAGCAGCAAGGTCCTGGACTCCTGCATAAGGCAGCCAACAGCAGGCCGTGGGGACAGCTGAATCTGTGACAGCGACTGCTGGAGCTCTTAGCCCACAGACGTTAAGGGGGTTGGACAGCTGGTCAGAAGGAGATTACAGGATTTTAAAAATAAGAGAGGTAAGGGAAAAATTGGGAAAAGAAATAAAAGGGATGCAAGAAAATGATGAAAAAGAGTCAAGCTTGGTTAAAGGCGGTACAACAAATACTGAAGAAAATAACACCTTAAAAACAGAATAGGCCAAATGAGAAGAGGCAAAAAAATCCACTGAAGAGAACTCTTAAAAAAAAAAGCAGAATTGGTCAAATGAAAAAAAGATATGCAAAAAGTAAAAGTAAAAAAAAAAAAGCAGGGATAGCAGTCATGATCTCAAACAAAGCAAAAGCAAAAATCTAATTAAAGAAGATAAAAGAAAGAAACCACATCTTGCTAAAAGGTAACACAGACAATGAAATAATATCAGTCCTAAAGACATATCCACCAAATGGTATAGCATCTAATTCATAAAGGAAAAGTTAAGTGAGTTACAAAACGAAATAGAAAAATATACTAGTGAGGGACCTCCGCTTTCCCTTCTCAGAACTAAATAAATCTAATTAAAAAAAAAAAAGAAAGAAGTGGAGGAGATGAGTAGAATTTTTAAAAAGTTAGATATGATAGACCTCTGAAGAAAACTAAATGGGAATAGAAAGGAACATACCTTTTTCTAAGCTACACATAGCACCTTCCCCAAAACTGACTGTTTAAGGCATAAAACCCTCACAGCCAAATGCAAAAAAGGAGAAATATTAAATGCATCCTTTTCAGATCATAATGCAAAAAAAATTACATTCAGTAAAAGACCATGGAAACATAAGTTGAAATTAATTGGAAATGAAGTAAGCTAATCTTAAACAATGAGTGGGTCAAAGAACAAGTCATAGAAACAATCAATTTCATTTAAAGAGAATGACAACAATGAGACAACATATCAAAATTGCAGCCAGTGCAGTACTTAGGGGGAAACTGGTAGAGTGGTAGATCAGTGGAATAGATTAGGTACAAATTACATTATAGTAAATGTTCATAGTAATCTAGCATATGATAAACCCAAAGATCCAAGCCTTTGAACAAAAACTGCTGGGAAAACTGAAACAGTATGGCAGAAACTAAGTATAGAAAAACTAACTGTAAACCAGCATCATACTGTATACCAAGATAAGTTCAAAATAGGTACATGATTTATACATAAAGAGTCATACCATAAATAAATTACAAAAAATATGGAATAGTTTATTTATCAGATTTATGGATAAGGGAAGAATTTAGGACCAAGGAAAGAGTTTTTGCACAAACAAAACTAATGCAACAAAAATTATAAGGAAAGCAGAAAACTGGGGGAAAAATTTTACAAGTATCTCTGACAAAGGACTCATTTCTCAAATATGTGGAGAACTGAGTTAAATTTATAAGAATACAAGTCATTCCCTAGTTGATAAATGGTCAAAGGATATGAACAGGCAGTTTTCAGATAAAGAAATCAAAGCTATATAGTTATATGAAAAATGCTCTAAATCACTATTGATTAGAGAAATGCAAATTAAAACAATTTTGAGGTACTACCTCACACCTATCAGATTGGCTAATATGACAGAAACATGACAAATGCTGGAGGGGATGTGCAAAAATTGGGACACTTATGCACTTTTGGTAGAATTGTGAACTGATTTGACCATTCTGGAGAGCAATTTGGAACAATGCCCAAGGACAATCAGTCTGTGTATATCCTTTGATCTAGCAATACCACTATTATGACTGTATCCTAAAGAGATCAAAAAGCAAAAAGGAAAAGGACTTATATGTACAAAGATACTTATAGCAGCTTTTTGTGGCAGCAAAGAATGGGAAATTTAAGGAATGCCTATCAATTGGAGAATGGCTGAACGAGTTGTAGTGCATGATTATGATGGAATACTATTGTTATAAGAAATGTTGAGCAGGATGCTAAAAACCTGGACTTTACATGAACTGATTCAAACTGAAGCAAGCAGAACCAGGAGAATATTATATACAGTAACAGCAATGTTGTACAATGATCAACTGTGAATGACTTAACCAGTCTCAGCAGTGCAAAGATCTAGGACAATTTTGAAGGACCTAGGATGAAAAATGCTATCCACCATTAAAGTAAGAGCTGATGGAACCTGAATGCATATTGAAGCATACTATTTCTTTTCCTTGGGGTTTTTTGGTGTTTTCTTTTACGACATGACTGTCATGGAAATATATTTTGCATGACTGCACGTGTATCACCTTTATCATATTGCTTGCTTTCTCAGTGAAGGGGCAGAGGTTGAAGGGCAGGACAGAATTTGGAAAACTCAGAATTGTAGAAAACAAAGGTTAAAATTTGGTTTTACTTGTAATTGAAAAAAATAATAATAAAAAAAAGAGATGCCATCTTTCCATAGTCACCATGACTCTCTGGATTATATAGTGTAGAAACTTTGACAAGATTTAAAAGAATAAAGTCATTGATTGATGTGGAAAACTGGATTATGGTTCCCTCAAATGAGGTGATATTTGTAAAAGTACATAGTTGGCATTAATAAATGTTTATTCCCTTCTCCCTCCTGAATTGCCCTACTTACAAATGATGTTGATATTAACACTTCATAGTTCAGGATCTGAGTCACATAACTCAAGACTGACTTTTTCTGTATGATATGGGAAAATAATTTGTAACTTAACTTTGTTTTGTGCTTTTTTCTCTTCCTTCCCCTTCCCCCAACCAGAGGAGATAACATGTGACCTTTGTGGAAAAACCTTTAAACGCAAAGACTACCTTAAGCAGCATAAGAAAATTCATGCTCCAGAACGGGAGGTGTGCCGATGCCCAAGAGAAGGCTGTGGCAGATCGTACACAACTGTGTTTAATCTTCAAAGCCATATTCTTTCCTTTCATGAGGAACAGCGCCCATTTACTTGTGAATATGCTGGCTGTGGAAAATCATTTGCCATGAAAGTAAGTTAGTTGGCATTTTTCCCTATGGCCAGCTACTAAACATACAGCCAATACCACACCTGCCTACTCAATCCTTTTAATATTAATTGGAAAACTTGTATGAACTGATGCAAAGTGGAGTAGAACCAGAACACAAGTTAAATAATGACCACAAGTTAAAATTACTTTTACTATGAAGGATAGATACTGTTATTTGTATGTTTTGACTTTGGGTTACTTTTTGTTGGTATATGGAGATAGAAAAAAACTGGTATTACAGAGCACATGGAATGAGGTGAAGTTTAGGTGGGATAAGTAGATGTGGTCATTCATTTCTTGTTTAAGACTGGCCTTCTTAGACTTGGCCAAGAATGTGGGCTCACTAGTTTTACAGTTTTGTTTTTCTGGAACCTTGCCTTTTAATGTTTTCATGGAAACAACTAATACTGGGAGGAGGCAGTAAGCTTATATGAAGAAGAGAGATGAAATTGATAGCTTCAGGAAATTGACCCTCTGGTACCTGAGAAGATGAATATTTCCAGTAAGAGAGAGTGTACATAATTTGTTCATAAGGAAAATCTGGTTTGACCTTTCTCCTTCCTTCCATTGCAGCAAAGTCTTACAAGACATGCCGTTATACACGATCCTGACAAGAGAAAATTAAAGATTAAAGTAAGTTAGAACTTGTGAAAAGTGTGATTTCATGTTAACATATAACTTAGGAAACAGGTTCATTTCTCTGTTGGACATCCAAAGTACCTTGCTTTTAATTTAATGATGCTGACTTAAGAGGGGACAGTGTCATGAGACAGTAAAAAGGTAAGTGCTTGAACTTGGGTTCAAGTCCCGTCTCTGATACATACCAGCCATGTGACCATGGGCATATGACTTAACTTCTCAGAGCCCTAGGCAACTTTCTAAGACTCTAAGTTACGGATGAGTCATACACTTAGCTGTACCGGTAGGAAATCTTTACACCAATGAAATCGCAGGTCCAGAACAAAAAGAAAAACTTATGACATAATTCAGATTTCAAGAAGTTGCTCAGATGTATAAATTACTCAGAGAAAATACCTGTATGGATGTGTGATTGATTTTATTTTAAATTCCCAAAGGTGAAACGACCCTCTGGAAAACGGAGCCTGGCCTCTCGCCTCAGTGGATACATTCCTCCCAAAATTAAAGAAACATTGCCAAAAAATGGAAAGTCATCAGACTGTTTTGAGGAAAACATGCTGTCAACTGTTGCAACACTGACCCTTGGCTAAATAGTACATATGTAGATTTTGTAAATAGTTTTTTTAATTAAAAATATCACTTTCTTGCCTTTGAAAGTTTTTCTTATTAAAATATCACTGCTGCAGAATATTTGATTCCATATCATCACTGTTTTCCTTATTCACAGTGTCTCTGTTTATTTGAATCTCTTTACTTTTCCCATGTTCAGTCATTTCCTTATTGCTCAAGTGGCGAAAAACACAGGTCGCAGCTTTCCCACCTCTCGTGATTCTGGGCTTGGATGTGAAGGTAGCTAGTTCAGGCATAGACTTGAGAATTTTGTCAAAGAGCTCCTCCTAAAAATATAACCAAAATGAAGTTTATATGCTGTTTTTATTTCTTATATACTGTTTCATGTTAAAACACAAACATTTGTAAAAATTAGGATTGTCAAGTGTTTCCTGATCCTATATTAGATATGACCCTATACTAGATACTATGGAGTCTGTGTAGTTTGGGTTGTGATGTGATTCCTTTCCTCACAGAGCTTAGACATTGTAGGAAAGCTGAGGTTGAAAAACCTAGATGTGATTTTGATCAGATAAAATACCTGGCATATTCTGCATGAAATTTTCCTGACCAACACTGGCAATAATGTACCCAGAAGCCTTTATATACTGCTGTCAATTAGTAGCCTAAAATCATAAAGGGACAGACATCACCTGATGTCGAAATCTTCCTTTTAAGAAGTCTCTAAGCTGTTTGGTATGGGCCACTGGTGCCCAAAGATGGAACTAGGCTAATGGGTATGTGAGTCACTGCATTGTGGTGGCTGAGAGTGATAGTGGTGTATGGTAGTGCCCATGTGTATGGCAGAGATTTGGGAAGATGTGACAGATTTTCAAGAAATGGTGTATTGCCAAATGATCTATTTCTCCCATACCTCTAGGCTGCAAAAGATAGGGAGACACTTGTGTGGGATGACTCCCTCTTAGCTCACCCACTAGTGAGGTGCTCCTGTCAATGAAGAAAGCATGAGAAGATTTGACAAGAAAGAAAGGTGGTATTACCATTACAAAATCACATAATGTCAAGACTCTACAAATGTTTTATTTTAAGCTTTTATAGTATGAATTCTGACCTCCCATGGAAATACCTCCTACTGAGGAAACGTTGTATGGAATAAATAATCCCTCATATGTTTTGCCTAATGTACTTTTAAACACCATTTTAAAATATTAAGATAAACCATTATATAAATAACATGCATTGACACAGAGTTGAAGATTAATTATAGATAGGTGTAGCATGGTTAATTGAAAAGAGGCTCCCAGAGGGAATCTGCCTACATAGATCTAATTTAGTACACGAAGCACTTACTATATGCAAAGAACTGTGCCAGATACTGACTAGCATTAACTATGATTGGAAAAAGAAATTCAAGGAAGTACAAAAAAAAAATAGTAAGTTATGAACCTTTTTTATAATACCTGTATTGATAATGTCAGAGAACCATGAGCTAAGCAAGTCCAATGGCCAGACCAAAAACAATGTGTGAAGACAATGCTTACATGAACTAGCACTATGCAGTATTGTGGAATTGATTCATATCTAAGTTAATTTAAGGAAAGCTTAGTCATCAGCCTAATATCAGAATTAATTGGCTCTTAGATCTTTTTGCCTGAATATCCTTCTATAACATCAAAGTTCAGCTCATCTTTCTGTACAAACTATTTCCTATTCCATAATTCTCTATTTCTGTTAATAGTACCACAGTCATTCTAACACACCCTGTGTTGTATACTTGGAGTCATCTTCAACTTTTTTTTCCTTCTCCCCCTCCCCCTCCCACCCCCTTCCCTAATCCAATCACTCTTTATATTACAGTCTTTTTCCTTTTGTTTCCATTCCCACTTTGATTTAGGCCCTCATTTCCTCATGTGGATTACTAAAATTGCCTTTTAGTTGGTCTCAACATCCTCAATTCCTCAGAACTTACAAGGTTACCTTAGACCTCAAGTCTTTGCTTTTGACCCGCTTCTTTCAATACCTTCTCCCTTAGGAATCTTATATACTCCCATAACACCTCTACATCAATGACCTGTGCATAATCCTTTATCCTGTGCCCCCCCCCAACCCCCCAAATTGAAAGTCCTTGAAAGAGAAATGTGTACAGTTTTACCTTTGTATCTGTGCACTAAGTGGGGGTGGGAGGGTGTGTAAGGGGGTGGGAGAGGAAGGAGGCAGGCTCCAAGTATAGAAAGTCCCTCCATTGATAGAGACTGGAAACTCCTCTGTAACTTACAGCTTACAGAGTTACCTGGAGCACCGAGCAACTCTGGGGCAGGACTCAACATAGACCTTCCTCATTCTGTAATAGGCAGCCCATGCCTCTCTGTCTCACACAGCTTGCACACAGTAAGTGCTTAACAGATTTTTTTTCCCATTGAATCAATTTTGTCTGATGTCTGACCTGCTCTTTCTAAAATGTAAGCTTCTGGAAAGCAGATAATATATCTTCAATGACCATATTTCTAAACTAAAAAGTTAGAATACATGGCCTCACAAAGGTTATCCCTTTTGTAAAGCCTTCTTAAAAGTAGACTTATTTTCTCAAAAGGTAGAACTGTCATGAAAATCCTGGACTAGCCTGACTTAAGTCTATCTGACAGATCTCTGAATTCCTCTCCTTCCTCTTTAATGCCTAGCAATAGCTGGCACATAGTAACTATTCATTAGATATCTGTTGAATATATAAATGGCCTTGTATTTGTATTACATTTTGATACTTTAGCTTCACAATTTTTCTGTCACACAAGGCAGTTTTTCTATTTCTAATTTCTATGCAAAGAAACTAAAGGACCAAGAGGTTGTCAAGTGACAAAATTAAACCCAGGTTTTGCCTCTTAACCCATTTACTTTTCTTAAGACCAGGGATCTCCAAGCCAGAATGCTTGTTGCTGCCCCCTAAGTTCTTTTGTTCAGATAAATACGTAGTTAGATTAACAAGACTTTGTGAAAAGTGTTAGCTAACAGTAGCAATAAAATTGTAATATGCAATTAAAATACATCATTTTAATTTGAGAAGCCCTCTAATGGACCATACTACTTTCCTTCTAGCTTAATTAATGACAAATTAGTCTGTTATTGTCCTCTTTTAGGTGTTTAATTATTTAAGTCTTTTTGGAAATGAGCACGGTATAAATCTTGGCTAAATCCAATGAATCAGTTGTCCATGTCCAAATTAATATAATCATCTACACCAACTTCTAATCAATGAAAACCTATAGAATAACCAAAGTTATTAAAAAGTAAAGGCCAGGTAACCAACAGATAAAATGCACTGAACTTGAAATGACAAAGAATGACAACCTCTGACTCTGTCTCACTATATACGTACTCAGCACGACCGAATTCTGGGACTACAGATTGGTCCGTAAACCTCCTTCTGAAGCAGGAAAGGGAGGGTTGCAGGTAATGAGGAGGTAACTGCCAGAAAATGGAAGCAGCTTTGCTTGGCAGATGACATGCTTTACCTTCTACCTCCAAACCTGCTTAGTTACCATCGTGCAAAGTGGCATAGTGCCTACAGTGTGGAACTTGGAATAAGGAGGAATTGAGGTCAAATCCTGACCGGTCAATTTTAATACAAATATGCCCTCTCCTCATTTTCCATTGCCTTCTTATCTCCTTCAGGATCAAATATAAAATTCTGTTAGGCATTCAAAGCCCTTCACAACCTGGTCCCCTCTTATTTTTCTAATCTTTTTAAAACTTACTCTGTTCCAACTCTGCAGTCCAATGATAATTCCACCTCCAGATTCTAGGCACTTTGTCTGTCCTGAAGGTCTGGAATTCTTTCCCTCATTTTCTCATCCTTGCTTCCCTGGGTCCCTTCAATTTTCAGCTAAAATCTTATTTTAGCTAATTGTAGCTAATTCCACCAGAAGCCTTTCTTGATCTCCTCTAATGCTTGTGCCTTCCTTCTACTGATTATCCCCATTCATCCCCTATATATCTCGTTTCTAGAGTTTCTGCCCCATTAGACTATGAGCTCAAGAGTAGGCACAGGGTTTTGCCTTTTTTTGTATAGATTAGTGCCTGGCACACAGTATGGTTGTCCTTTGACCAAATTGACATCACTATGCTAAAGTCAAGCTACAGTGTGCCCAACTGTGGCTGATCAGACCAATGTGAGCTCGGAATGCTCTACCACAGGTCGGGCACAAATAGTCCATGGGAACATTTGGGGTAGCTTCTATAAATTTGTGCACCTCATTTCTTTTGAGCTACTTCAATGCCCAAATTAGAGGAAGTGCCATGCTCTATGAGCAAAGCAGAATTGACTATTTGTGGTCAAAGGACAACCACACACACACAGCTGCAACCAGCACCTGTGAAACCTTTGGAATTGATTGAGCGGTCCTGTGCCAGTATCTCCCCTGTCACACAATCAATTCCAAAGTTCTTAAGAGAGACTTTGAGAGTGTCCTCGTATTGCTTCTTCTGACCACCATGGGAGCCCTGTGAAAGTTCTCCATTAAATAGTCTTCTTGGCAAGTGTACATCTGGTATTTGAACAACATGGCCAGCCCACCAGAGTTACATTCCATGAAGCTGAGTTTGAATGCTTGTCAGTTTAATTCGAGAAAGGACCTCAGTATCTAGTATCTTATCCTGCCAGGTGATCTTCAGAATATTCCTAAGACAATTCAAATGGAATTGATTCAGTTTCCTGGCATAGCTCTGGTACACTGAACAGGTTTCACAGGCACACAACAATGAGGTCAGCACAACGGCTCTGTGGACCTTCAGTTTGGTAGTCAGTCTAATACCTCTTCTCTCCCACACTTTCCTTCAGAGCCTCCCAAACACTGAGCTAGCTCTGACAATGTGTACCATCAACCTCATTATCAATGTGAACATTCTTGGAAAGTACACTGCCAAGGTAAGTGAACTCATCCACAGCATCCAAAACTTCTCCACTTGTTATAATCGATGATTCCACATATGGATGGTGTGGTGCTGGTTGAAGGAGCACCTGTTTCCTTGGTGTTAATTGTTAGACCAAAATTAGCACAAGCAGCAGAGAATTGATCCATACTTTGTTACACCCCAGCTTCAGAGCTTGCATTGAGTGCACAATCATCTGCAAACAAACATGCACCAACACTCCCTCCACTTTGGTCTTGCCTTGTAGCCTTTTCAAGTTAAATTTACCATCTGTGCTGTAGATGACCTTGATGCCATGTTCGTCCTCACTGAAGGCATCTGACAACATGGCTGAAAGCATCATGCTAAAAAGCATGGGAGCAAGCACACAGCTCTGTTTCACTCCAATGGTGACTGAGAAAGCACGAGAGCATGGTCCATAATTCAGAACCTGGGCAAGCATGCCGTCATGAAACTGACATACAATACTGATGAACTTCTCTGTGCAACCAAATTTTGACATAATTTTCCATGTCTGACAGTATCAAAGGCCTCGGTCAGATCTACAAACCTTGTGCACAGGCGTTGGTTCTGCTCTTGGCATTTCTCCTGGAGTTGTCGGGCAGCATACACCATATCAACTGTTCCTTGGCCCTTTCTGAAGCCACACTGGCCCTCAGGTAGATGGCCATCTTCCAGATAAAGGATCAGCCTATTAAGGAGGACTCTGGCAAGTCACTTAACCTTTTAGTGTCCCAGTTCCCTCATTAGCTTTAAATATATGATCCTATGATACCATTTAGATAATGACCCAGCAGCAACTTTTAAAATTAAATGTTTTGACACTTGTAGTTGCATGTAATTTTATCTTAGTCTAAAAAAGTACGTTCAGTAAAAAGTATTTATACCTGATTGTACTTACCATATTATCTTCTGGGTCTGTAGCTTTCCCTTTCTTTACTGTAATTTGGACTTGATATTTTTTCTCAATCCACTGTTGAATCTGTTTCATTTTGGTGTCCAAATCATGTTGTGCAATATTTGAAGAAAAGGTCAATTCCTTTAACTGGGGAGGTCCTAATTAAAGACAATGATATTTGCAAGCTTACTATTAATGAGACAGGACTGAATCTCTATCTAGTTATCACCATAATGATACTTTAAAAGATCTGCAAGTTCGGCATTGTTAGTATTCCTTCCACTGATAAAGACTGTAACCTCTCCGTGACTTAACAGTTTTATGAGTTGCTGTACTAAAAAAAATAAATAAGTAAACTTTGTGATGAGCCCTCTATTAACAGAACTTTCAAAATTTAGCTAGGCTAGTCTTGCAACCACAGTTGGAGGCCTGGACTATACTCAAAAGTTCATACTCTCTTGGCATAGTCTTTGAGAATCCCGAGTCACCTCTAGAATTTTTGCCTATTAACCTACTTCATTTTTTTAGACCAGGGATCCAAATTGCTAGTTGCGACCTCTTTAGCCCTTTTGTTCAATGAATACGTAACTGGGCAAACAAAAAAGGAATTAGAGTACTGCCTTGGTGGAATAAAATAATAAAGATACTTTATTTTTATTAAGATTTCTAGTTTCCATAATTCATAATAAATTACATAATTTCACCAGACAGCACATAACAAGGACAAGTTATTATTTTACAAATGAGGATACTGGCTCAGAAAGATTAAGCAGTTTATTCCTAAGTCATATGTCTAGGAAGAGGCAGAGCAAAAATTAAAACCCAGATCTCCTAATTCTAGGTTCAGTGTACTTTGCTCTCCAATGCTTTACTGTTATAAGTAATTAATAATTTAGTAAATATTTTCATGTTAACAACACAAACAATACTAAGTACCTATCTGGTTGTGCATAATAGTTAACAGAGATCTAACATTACTTTATAAAAAGGTAATCTTTAACACCTAGCAATTTGGAATTTGTGAGAAAAGAAAATACCTAATAAGGACCTCCTTCCTTCCCCTAATGGCAAGAAAGTACTAGTTTGGATACTTTTGTTAATCTTTTTTTTTTTTTAAACACAGATATTAAGAGATGGTAAGGAAGAAATGGAGGCAGAAGAAGTCTCATTAAGATGAGAAAAACAGTAAAGTGAGAGATGAACAAGGAAATGCCAGATGACTTAAGACAATATTACAATATTCACAATTTCCAAGAGCAGTTTAAAATGATTAGTAAAATACCTACTGGTTTTTGCTTGAGTCTTTTCTTTCTCTCTAAGTCGAAGCTGTTCTTCATGAATCTGGCTTCCTGACATTAACTGGTATACTGGAGGGTCTGCACTGGCATTCCGTAAAACAAGTCTCAGGTTTTGCTCCTCCATTAGACGAATCGCTGTCACTCGGTGCATCGTTCCCAAGTCGTTCCCATTACTATCAAGTAGCTGAAGAATTCGGTGATGAATTTTTCTCCCAACATTGCCAAAAGCTGATTTTGACCTTTTTTTCTTGTCCGTTTCATCTTCTGTGTTTCCAACTGTACTAAATGCATTAGCATATGCAGGCAGTGGTAATCTTTTGGCAACAGTGATAGCCCCAAACAGTGTTAGTGCTGCCTTTTGCACAATCTGTGCACTAAAGTATCTATCACTGCAATTAATTCCAGTTTTCACAGTCTGATGTATGAACTTCCTCATAAGAGCTGTCATTCTAAGAAAGCGGGGAGACAAAGTTATTAAAATTCAGTAATTTTTTTCCCCTTTAACCTGGCACTGTGGCCCTAGAAGGTACTGTACTGTCCCACTGAACCTAATTTAAGGGAATTCTGGTTTCTGGAAAAGAAGATCCTACACACGGGAAATTCACATCAGGCTTTTATCTGTGGCTATTAACCTGTCTGCACTCATAAGCCATTTGCTTATTTCCTAGCTGTCTTTCAATTCCAGATGCATAAAATATCTTCAGTATATAAATGACATTTACCGGGATACTGCGGTATCTAATACTAGATATAGGAATAGCATCTTACATATTTCATATCATTTATTGACTAACAAAAGGCCAATGTATTTGGTTTCATACAGAACCTAAGAGTATCCTAAATGGGATGGGACATAAAGCTTGCCCCCTGAGAAAACTAAACGAAAACTGATAATTAGGGGGGAAAGGACAAACCAAAATTTGCCAATCAGTATTTGATTTCTGGTAGCTAAAGCTAGATGTCAATCATCCTCTAGTTGTTAAGAACATACTAAAAGTAGTAGACCCTGAAGGGGACTCATTACTGTTCCTCTAGCAAACTTAGTTAGTGATCACATCTTTGTAGGTAACTTCACACATTTAAAGTGGGGAGTGAACGGATCACCTCCTTTTAATAACATAAAAGAAACCCAGAAGTGTAGTAGTAAAGAAAGGGAGTACCCTGCCTAAATGCTTAAAAGACATTAAAAAAATAGGTGAGATGACGGAGCTAGGCATAGCTGTAAGCTAGTGGGGTTACTTCTTTGTCAGAGAGGTAGTAACATGCGACCACGCAGAAAAAACACTAAAGAAAGTATAACCCACATACAGTGGAAGTTCATCAGTGTACTTTGGAATAGACTAGTTCCAGGATTCCCACCTTTATTATGTACTAACGACTTCCATTCCTCAAATGGTCAGGAAGCAGGGCTGGAGAGATGAGTGGCAACAGAAATCCTGGGGGCCTTAGTCCCTTCCTAATGACACAAGCTGGCAAATGGTCAGAGGCATTGTTGTTTCCCATTAATACTGGAAAGCAGTATGGCAGTGCTAGTGGTTGAAATGCTAGATCTGGAGGAAGAGAGGCCTGAGTTTGAATCTTATCCCTGACATTTAATTTTTGTGTGACCATGGGCAAGTCAACCTTTCAGGGCCTCATTTGTTAATGAAGTAGGCTCTACCTCATAAGGTTATTATGAATATCAAATGAAATAATGTACAGAAAACATTTGGCACACCTTAAAGCACACCATGTCAGAACTGTTAGTTTCTGATGATAACTGAGAGGCTTGCTGGAGACATGGTGGGAGGTAAAGGGAAAAACTTGACATAGCATAAAGGTAGGTTCTGGAGAAGAAAATAAAGAGCAAAGTTTCTCCTGTCTGCTTCACACTTCTGCATAAGAAAGTCAACGTCAGGAAATTCCCCCTGCATTGAGATGGAGTTTTGGAAATCAACAAAAGAAGCCAAGTAATTTTGGGACAAGTAATACTTATGTAAATCGCCTACAAGATGATGAAAGGTTTAGTTATATTTCTGCCTGAATCACTGTATATTAAAGGAAAAACTCACTAAAGGATGGCTGAGCTATACCTGTTACATTTGGAGTTTGAAATTACCAAAGAAAGCCTCTGTCCTACACAACATCCCCTGTGCCAAGACTTTGAGCAGTGCATTGCACAAAGATGTACCATGCTGTGATTCAGCATAGTAATTCTCAAGTTTCTGTGAATGTGTGAGAGCTAACACTTAGGACTGATAATCTCTTATGTTCCAGCTTTGTAGCATCTGATTGTAGAGCAATGTGGGTCCCAGGAAAATATATTGTTGATTCTCATATGTGAAGAATACCGAGAGTAGTGGGAAGGACTGACACAGGACCAACAATCCTTTCCACACTGCACCAGATTGGCCTTTGGCATAAAGCTACAGTTACTATTTACAAAGCCTGATTTAATTTATTAGGACAGTTAAACCGTGTCTACTTGACACCAGTCTGTACTATGAACTCCCTGAGGGCTAAGACTTTTTTTGTATCTCCAATGCCCAGCACAGTGCTCTGAGCATTATAGGTGTTTAATGTTTGTTGAAGTGAAATAATCAATAGCCAATTGTTTGCTTTAAACACTCCCTAGTCAGATGAGTTATTTTAGTATTGCAGCACCTAGGCCAGTGTCTTAAAAGTAGCTCAATAAATATTTGTTGAATGAATAAAACAATTAACTGAATAGTTTGGGTCTATCAAAGCCTTTTTTTTCTTTCAGAATAGTGGTTCAACGCTTACATCACTGGAATGAAAGTACTTAAGTAGTAGCAAGAAACAGATAAATATTTTTAATTTATTTGAGGACAAATATTTCTGAATTTAAAATAAAGCAAATTACTAAATGTTATTGGAAACCTGTTTTAATCCCAAACAATAAGTTTGTACCTGTGAGGAAAAACCACAGATATTTACATTGTCTTTATAATGATCAGATTTTTCTAATATACAATTATGTTTATGGATTTTAAATACTGTATGTAGACCACCAAATAATTATCATGGAGGTTGGAATAGTCATAGGAAATGTTACTGGTTTGTATGGTCATATTGCAAAATTAATTAGCTTCTATGTACTTAGAAGCAGATAGTGAGAGATAACACTTAAGAGTTTAGAGAAAGATCTAGAAATAAAAATGTTTTGTCATAACCTCTTCACTGTTTACTCAATGGTTTTCATTTTATTATGCTAATATTCACAGTTAAGGTCTTTCTTATCTTGATGTAAAAGTTACACATGAGAAGTTCTAGTGGAATAATGGTCTTATTATATGGACCAGCTAAGTTGATACACTACTACAAAATGCCTCATTTGTTCTTCAACAGTTTTGGAAAGAGATCCTGATAAAAGCTGTCTTGGCTACACTGTTAATGAACTATTGAATCTTGCTTTCATTTGCATGCCTCTGGGTTTTGCCCTTACACAAAAAAAAGCAAAATACTCCTAGTAATAATACATGCTCTCTAAGAGCTAAGCAGAGAAAGTGTGAAAGGAAAACTGAGGTTTTCTTTTCATTCCACACAATGATCTAGTGTTTATAACTCAGGTCAAGTTGCCTAACCTCATTCATTTCAAGTGTTTTCCTCAGAACTATACTATAAATATTAACCTCCTCATTTGACAGGTGAGAAGACTGAGTATCATCAGGGAGGTAAAATGAGTTCTTCAATCTCACACAGTCAGTGTGTTACAAGATCTGAACGTAGGTCCCCGACTCCAAGCCCTGGGCTCCTTCCATTATACCACAGATTCACTCAGATATGTGGGAAAAACCTTTGGATAAAACCCTACTAGAAGCTACAGGACGACTGGTTTCTAAGCACCTTCTAGTTTCAAACTTGTGAGACTATACTTCCGCATTCTCTGTAGCTTTGTTTCTTAGCCTAGTTAGCAAAGCTGAAAAACTTAAGAGCAAACTAAATGGCAACCCTATAGTACAGTTCTATTTCCTTCAGAAACTTGATGTCATGAGAGTATCCAAGAAAAATAGAACTTGTCTTCTGGAAGGCTTTCCTTCCAAGATAAGCAAATGGGCAAAATTAGGGAAAATGTGATTGTTTCTTTTAGATTTTTTTTAAACCTGTTTACTATTGCCTCTCCTCCATTCAGATACGATGTCTAATTCACTGTCAAAACTTTCAAGATTGTTCACACTCAAAGCCTTTCTACCCCCTTTCTCTCCTATCTATTTAGTGAAGCCAAAGAACAGGAAATGCTTCTTATTCGGGGCCTTCCCTCTTCATTCCTGTTAGCGCCATACTTGGGGTACTCTTTTCACCTAACTATTGTAAACTGCCTAACTAGTCTTCCTGCCTTCAGACTATCTCCTCTGTAAATCACCTTCACTGCATTCACTTCAAAAACCTGCTGTGAGGCCCCATTGCCTAGGAATGAAGTTTAAACTGAAGATCATGCATTCATTAGGCTCTAGCCCACCTTTCCAGTATTTTCTCAACCTGCTCTCTCATTGTCCCCCCATTCCTGCTTATCCTTGAAATGGGCACCTGTACCCAATCTCACAGAATCTTCACTGGAAGCGAGAGGCTGGAGCCAGAAGAGCTAGATTCAAATCCAACACTAACTAGCCACGTGATCTTGAGGGACTCACAGTCCACCTAGCAGAAAAGAGATACCCGGGTAACAGGGTTGCTGTGAAATTCCGGTGACTTGTGTTTAATCACCGTCGGCTGCGGCCAGCAACCTGACCTATGTGTGTAACCCCGCTGCCACCTCCTCCACGAAGCTTTCCTCTCCGAGCACTCTGGTCGGGGTGCCCCCCCGACGAGGTCCTACTGTTCCCTGCGCTGCGGCGTCACCTCCACCCCCCCGATGCTCAATGACCCTCAGTGGCTCCCCTGTGCCTAGGGGGTGCGGTGGTGTGCTCTCCGTAAGTGCTTGTGGGTTGGCCCGGGAACAACCTTAGCGCAGCCGGGATGCGCAGACCCGCTGCGGAGGGTATCGGGGCGCAGGGTCCGAGGCACGCGAGGAGGGAGGCGGGGCCCCCAGGATGCCGGCCCGTGGGCCCTGGCAGCCCGCCCGCGCCCCGGCGGGGAGGAGGTGACCCTGACGCGGGTCTTCCCCTCATTCACCCACCCAGGAGCCGCGGCCTCGGGTCCGAGTTACCTGATATGGGACTGGAAGGAACGGGAGGAAAAAGTCAAGGCAGCGCCGGAAGCGGAGGAGCCCGGCCGCTTCCCGTAGTGGGCGGAGCTTCCACAAGGGGAGCTTAAAGGGAAAGCGGAGCTGAGGGCAGGGGGATGGGCTGCGTCGGAGGAATTAAAGTCCTCCGACCGAGAATGCGGGCGTTAAAGCCCTCTAACTGAGAGTGCGCGTAACGTCGCGCGACGACTGTGGGCGGCGAAGCGAGGTTCTGGTCGGGCGGTGGTCTTCGCTGGTTCCCGTTCTGTCCAGCCCCTCGCCCCCAACATACACACACCCCTGGCATGGGGGTGAGGCCGTAGGCCTGCAAGGTGGTACAGGAGACCACACTGTGTGGGGAGGGGCCCAGGGTCTGTAGTCTGGAGACTCAGGGTTCGCATATGCCCCAGGTTGCCATGTAACCTTAGCCACGTCCTTCCACCTCTCTGGCCTTGGTTTCCCAACGTGAAAAAATAAAATGAAATTAGGGATTTGGAGAACAGCCAGTCCAGTTAGACCCAAGGTTTAATCACAAGCCCTGCACAAGTGAGGTGATTACTGAACTGAGGGCGATGCTTTGAAAAAGGATCCGTGACTGCGTCCTCGAACCCAGACGGAACCACATTGGCCTCCTGAGTGGTGGTTGGAAAGGGTGGCCAGCCCCGTGCTGGGAGCCCCGCCCTGCCTCGCCTCACCTCACCTCACGTCACCTTGCAGGTCTTCCTTCCCTGGAAGCCTTTCGTGCATGCTGGGAGCCTAGCTGTTCAGCTCCTCTCCCCTGGGTCCCGCGCTAAAGCAGCTGTCAGGATTTAAACCTGCCTCCATCTGGAGCCGGTAGATGGAAGGAAGGAAGTTATATGCAATGTAGATAGATCTCTATATCACATAAAGCCTTTGAAACTTGCAGGCAGATTTCACCAATTCATAAAAACTTTTATTGATTACATACTATGCATAAGACATTGCTCCTGGTGCATGGGAAGGGGGCAGAATACAAAGGAGGTTAAGATTCTTGCCCACGAGGAGTCTACAGTCTGCGATGGTATGGGAGTGATTTTTACATAAATAAACACGATCCAAAATATGTACTGAGAGTTCAAAGGAAGGGGTCTCCGTTTTTTTTAGCTGTAGTAATAAAAAATGGTGGACCTTGAAAGCAGTATAATAGGGTTTCAGCATGTAGGTATGTTCCAGTTTTCTCAACTTTAAAATGGGGATAATAATAACATCTACCCCCCAGGGTTGTTGTGAGGATCAAATGAGATAAAACTTACAAAGACATTAGCAGAGTGCCTGGCACTTATGGTTGTCTCCTTCCCTTCTGGGGTAGTTAGAGAGAGAAGAGGGCATCCCCAGTGCTTAGCACCATATCACACAAAAGACATCTAATAAATGTTGACTTGACAGTTACTGATGAATGGTTTAGTATTTGCATGTACGCAATTTCAGAGTTGAATATGGAAAATAATTTTGGCTTAATGAAACCATGGCCCAGAGAAGTAAAAGATTTTCCCAAGGCTACATAGGTAGTGAGTGAAAAATTCAAGATTCAAACTGAGGTCCTCTGACTTCATATCTTTATACTCTAGAATCATAGATTTATAGTTTGCAAAGAACCTTTGAAATCATTTAGTCCAGCACCCTTGTTTTATAGATGAAGAAACTGAGGCACACATAATGAAGTGAGCCAGGATTCAAACCCATGTTACTTGACTCCAAATCCAGCATTCTTTCTACCTTACCAGGCTGTCTCTCCCATTGCCACCAACAAGAATGAACCGTTGAAAATACGATTTGAATTAAAAAGTACTAGTTATGATGTGAAAGGAACTAAAATGTACAAAGAGTTTTAATGCCTAAGTGGGTTCCAGAAATTTAGTCACATTACAGATAGATCCTTGAAAACAAATAATTCCCTGTCCTTATGACCTATCAGTATTCTCTCTGTAGCCCTTTCTTGTTCCATTAAATGTTCAAGTCTCCAGGAAAGGTTGGCAATGGGGCCTCCAAACTGTCACTGTCAGAGACTTTAATTCTAAGGTGATCCATGAAATGAAGATGAACAAACTTAGTGAAAGGTAGTGATAATGAGCGTGAAAAAAGGAGCAGCTGTGTTTTTCTCTGCTTTTTTTCCTGACATTGCTATAGCCCCCTGCTGAAAAAGGTCCCTGACAGTTAAGAAGAGCCAGTGTAGACAACTTAGTATCATCTCAGTGGTGACAAACCTGAGGACTGTTAAAAATAGGCCGTCTCTCTCTAAAAGAGCTTACTTCACAGGGATTAACTGCTTTCTACTTGCCAAAGCATACTTTGTAGTTGTCTTGGGTAATATTGTGCAGTAAAATAATTAGCATGTTAGACCTGCTTTAGAAACAAAGCATTGTTCAATCTAAGTCATTTCCATGTGGATCTCCAAGAGATTTTCCTCTAAAACAAGGTCTGTCAAATAAAGCACAGGTTAAGGTTTTTCCCTGTCTAAAAGCTGATGGAAACTAACCCTTTCCCCTTCTGACCTGACCAGCTTTTAGTTATTTTCTTCTGATGGAACCTTGCAGCCTGCAAAAACATGTTAGGTTTTTTACGGGTTTGAAAGTTAATGGAGATTAATCCTGTCCTCTTCTAATCTCTTTTAACTGAGCTTTCAGCTCTCACCCAATTTCAGGTTCAACCATGACACCCTTCCCCTTTGTTCACAATCCCTCTGCAAATTCTAATTCCCTTTTCTGCTCCACCAGCTTCTTCAATTTCTGATTATTTCTGGAATCGATCATGACTTCCTCGACTAGTTGAAATGTTAATGCCCACTATTACTCACTAATATTCCAGCCCATGCCTGCAGCTCTCAGACATCCAAGAATGCCACATACAAAATATAAGTCCTTTCTTCCTGTTCATCCCATACCCTGCCAGGATCTGTAAGATGAATTTTTTTCCCCTTCTTTGAGGGATTTCTTTCTAGAAATATAGACAGCTAGTACCCTAAGATTCTTCCATCCAGATCCTTGGGTCTTTATATTCCCTAGTGTCTGAGAATGGTTTACAATGAAACTTTGCTTAATCATAGGGTGCCTGACACATAGTAAACACTTAATAAAGAATTTTTGGTTGACTGATTGCTTGATTAATTGACATGTTCCCAAAGAAAAATCCCAACCTAAGCAATTCTTGTAGAATCATAAAATCATGAGGCAAGAAGTGATCTTGAGGTATATTTTATCCATTCATTTCAATTAATCAAACATTGATTAAAGGCCTGTGCTGTTCAGAACACTGCTAAAGGCTAACTGAGATACAAAGGTTAGATAAAACAGGGAACAAGGTCCTGCAACTGCCGATGTCTAGGGTTTCACAATCTATGACACTAGAATGCTCAAGAGAAGGGTTCAGAATATTAAAGATATAACATAAAGATATAGCTTCACTGACACTGTGTCTCAGAGTCATCACCACCAAGTGTTTTGCTGTACTTTGTGTCTCAAGTCTTAGGTAGCTTATTATATAATCCAAGGTATAGGACCTTCCCAGGGACACACAATACAAGGGAACACAAAAGACCCACAGGGAAGGCCATGCTAGTAGTTGGGGCTCTCAAAGCTGTCTATCTCAGTCAACTAGAGTTCTCATCTGACTTTCTTGCTCTCACTCCCACCCAAACATTTAGCTCTACTGCCGAAGTATAAGGGCCGATTTAAGAATATTAGTCCACAAGCCTGGGGTCACACTACCCATGAGCAGCCTCAGAGTGGGAAAGACACTGATCTTAGCCTTACCAGAAAGATGACTCCATTCCTTTTCAGGGACATATGCTTTCTTCCAGCTCCTATAGCTCAACCGTTTACCTCCTTAATGTGGTGAAAGTATCTCCCCTTTTAAGACTTCCCCCTTTCTACTGCTTCTCCCTGATTATGTGACCTGACCTGTTTACATAAGGGAAATTGACTCACAGTCACAAAGATCATAGGATTCCTTTGTCAGTTGGCATTAGTGTTATTGATCAGGCCACCTTTTTCAGAGTCAGATAGCACACCTAAGCACACCTGTACAAGGCATCTTGGTGCTCTGGTATCCAGCATTCTTTGCACCTTTGTCCTGGAGATCTTCCTTCAGCACTTCTCTTGAAGAGCAGGTTTGTGCTAATTGCCAATCGTTCCTTCTCCTTTTGTACCTTCAAGTTTGGCAAAGAGTTTCCTTTTCTTATGTCTTTTTTCCCTCCTTGGGTCTTCCTAACCCAGGGCAAAGGCTTACATTTTAATGTGTTGTCTACTGGAAACCTTTCTTCACCCTTATGAATAATGTCCCCTAGACTGATCTCTTCATGGCAAGTATGATGTTGGTTGGCCATTTTCTCCAGGTTGCCTTAACTCAAAGACCCAGCAGCTATACTGGTTTCTCAAGAGGGTTTGAGTGCTTGACGTTGTGAGCCAGGTGCAACAGAAGCAGGGCTTTTGCTATCTATCTGATCCACTATTCAACCTTTCCCAGGCTAAAGCTTGAATGAATTTATTCCTTGCTACATGTGAAGTGCTACACCAATCTTCCTCCCAGTGATGCTCCTTTGGTCATGATTCAAGCTTGATGTTCCTTATGAATGGCATGTCCTATCTCATTACCTGTATATTATTTATTTATTAAATTTTTTTTTCAGGGGAGAACATGAATGCAGTCCCCCACTACCACAAATTATGCAGTCAAGTTTCCCTCATTTGGAAAAATTACAGGGATCATCCCATGTGAGTGCAATGGATAAGCCTCATCCTGGGGAAACCACCTTTGTGATCATGAAATCACCCCTGTCAGGTAAGTATTCTCATCACCTATATTATCTGCCCTGACCACTGGCCCTATACAACTACCAGTGTATGTTAAGCAAAGTTACCTTCTTCATACCTGATTTTGATGGTCCTCCTAATGCCTGGTTAATTGCTGCCTGCTTCAGTGGAGCAAGTGTCTTAGAGCCCCAATATTGAAAGCATTGGTCTGCTGACCCTGGTATGTTCATAACTCTGGAAGGCTGAGTTCTCCGGATAGCTTCTCCTTGCCCAATCTTGACTCTCCCCGCCTTCCTAAAAGTTTTCTTCTATTGTCCTGATCCCAATCTATTACTTTTATGGGGCTAGGTGAGAGGAAGTGCCACACTAGAAGTACAGGCCAGGATAAATTCAATATTATTATCCCAGCAATGTGCTTTACATAATAAGTACATAGTAAGTGCTAAATAAATATTTGTTGAATGTTTACTGACTATAATCTCTGACCAACCCCCCTGGTTTCATGAGCTCAGGGTTCTCCTGTACCTCTCCCTTATTTTCCTAGTCTCGTTCCCACTTACTTTTCCTGTTGTTGTTGTTGTTTTTAATGGCCATTCTTTCAAGTTACTTGTCATCAGGAAAGGCAACCTTATCTCCAGGCATAGACTACTTTGTTAAGCAATTTAATTTTTCATTTAGTCTCTTTCTAAATTTGAAATCAGCACTACTTCCTCCCAGCCCCAAAGTGTTCTCAGTTAATGGAAAACATACACACATACATACATGTATATATGTGGGCATATGTGTTATATGTGTGTATATTTATATACTCAAAGATCATCCTCACATTCCTTTTAAACTCTTCTGCATGATTCCCACTCTGAGTTTAGAGGGTTTTTTGCTTATGACTAAATCTTCCTTGAATCTATCCTCCCTCTTATTTTCCCTTCTCCCCTCTTTTCCTTACTCTTTTCCTGTTGAGGTAGATATTTTTACACCAATCTCTGTGTTCCCTCCTTTGATCATTTAGGTAAAAGTAAAGTTCAAGTGATGCCTGCTCCCCCTTCTCATGTGAATTGGCTTCTACTTTCACAACCTAATTATGTGATATAAATGCCCCCATTCTTCCTTCCCCTTCTGACTCTATTGTGTCTTCCCCCTCACTTTTTTTTTTCTTTAAGATCACCAAAATATAACAAAGCCATTCTTAGGGTCTTTGTTTTTTTTTTTTTTTAATTCTCTCTATGATCCCTCATGGCCTTAGGGTTCTGAAGGGATAAGTGTATTCTCCATTAGAATGTAAACACTTCATCTTTGTATAATCCCTTTGTGTTGCCTGCTTGTATTTACCACTTCAGGTTTCTCTTGGTTTCTGTGTTTCTATTTCACAATTTCTTCTCAGCTCTGCTCTTTTCATCAGGATTACTCAGAAGGCCTATATTTCATTACAGATTATTTTTCCCCCTTCTAGGATTATATTCAGTTTAACTGGGTAAGTTATTATTGGTAGTAAGCCTCTGTCTTTTATGTTTTGGAATCTTGTACTCCATTCTGCTTCTTTAGAGTGGTAACTGCTAAATCCTGTGCAGTTTTGACTGTGATTCTTCAGTATTTGAATTCTTCCCTTTCAGACATTTGCAGTCTTTTTTTTTTTTTTTCAACTTAGAAGCTGTGTATTCTAGCTATGATATTCCTGGGAGTTTTCATTTTGGGGCTTGTTTCTGGAAGCAATTATTGGATGCTTTCTATTTTTATTTACTTTCTTTTTCTAATAAGTCTATGGCAGTTTTATTTAATGATTTCTCTAAATATAATATCCAGGCTCTTTTTTAGGTCTTGCTTTTTAGCTTGTCCACTGATTGTTAAGTGATCTTTCCTTGATCTGTTTTCAAGTTAATTTGTTCTTGATAAGAGATACCTTACATTTTCTTCTTCATTTATTTTTTTTCAATCTTTTGACTTTGGTTTAATATTTCTTGTTTTATAACTTTTGTTTGGGTTATTCTAATTTTTAGAGTCTGTTGCTTGACTAGAGTTTTGTAATTCTTCCAGGTCTTTCCTCTGTATCTCTTATTCTTTTCTATTTCTTTCCTCTAATGTTCTCATTTCAATAAATACTTTTAAACCTTTTTTAAAATCTCTTCATTTCTGCAAGGAATTCTAACTGATCTTATGGCCAAGCTGTACTTTTCTTTGAGACTTCACATATATGTATTTTGGAGTAATTCTTTTATTCTGAGTTTGTGTCTTGGGAGTTCCTGGCACCATAATTACTCTTTATTATGGGAAAAAAATTTTTCCCTGGGATCCTGCTGCTTCTTTCTTTCTTTCCTTTTTGGTGAAGCAGTCAGGGTTAAGTGACTTGCCCAGGGTCACACAGCCATTAAGTGTCAAGTGTCTGAGGACAGATTTGAACTCAGGTCCTCCTGACTCCAAGACCTGTGCTCTATCCACTGTGCCACCTAGCTGCCCCTTCTACTGCTTCTTTCTCCAGGTATTGAGTGCTGTGCTCTGTTTTTCAAGGGTATTTGAGGTGGCTTGGACCAGAGAACTACAAACTTCCAGCAGGCCCAGTCTGATCACTGCCTCTCTGAACTTTCCAGTTTCCAGCCCCTGTTTGGGTCTAGGCAACACAATTACAGACTTACTCCTAGCTGGAGATCCAGTAGATAGCTTCTAGATGTAGCCCCTGTCACCTAGCTAAAAATCCCTATAGGTTCTGAGCTGCAGAATTGTAAAAGTCTAGCCCTGGTCTGAGCCAGGGTCTGAATCCTCTGTCCTACTTTGAGGTCTAAGTAAAAACACTGAAGGCCTACCTTTTTTTTTCCCATAAATTCTGCCTTGTTTATTTGCATGTGGACCAAATTGGTGATCTTGGTCTGGAAAAAATGACACACTGAGATTTCTCTATAGATTTCCTCATTCTTCACAACTCAGTCTGGCATTCTTCTTCCCATCTTTTCTGGAGTAGGTTTGGAAGGGAACTGGCCTGTACTGCTTCGTCTTACTCCTCAGTCTTTGCTTATTCTCCAAAGACAATCCTCCTTGTTGAGGTTCCATCATGGAACTCATGTCTTACTTATAACAGAAGTATTTAAAAATTGCCAGAAACTCTATTTTAAATTGGTGTTAGTCCTGTAGCACAGTGCTCCAATTCTCATTTAAAGGAATTGTCCAATCTAAGGCAACTTTGCCTGCCCGCTCCCCACAATCTGGCAATAGTAAAGTCCACCCTTGCTTGGTGTTTTAAGAGGTCCACAGTTAAGTCTTTATTAAAAAATAAATTTTGTTGATTTTTTTTTATATCACCTATATTTCTCAGCTTTTTTATACATATGGATCCTTACCCTTTTTATTTTCTCTGTTTGTCTCTATCTCTGTCTGTCTACCTGTCCCTCCCTTTATATATGTGTGTATATACATACACACATACATACATACACACATACATACATACATACATACACACTGCTCTCCAGAATGGCTGGACCAATTCAAATACTAATGTACAATAGTACATTATTATGCTTGTCCTCCCATATTCTCTCTTATAATTATCATTTCCTTTTTTCCCCCATCTTTCTATAATGCATACAACACTTACCATTCCTAGTTTTTGTCAACTTTGCCAGTTTACTGGGTTTAAGGTCATATCTCAGAATTGTTTTGATTTGCATTTCTCTTATAAATAGTGATTTGAAGCATACTTTCATATAGTTGTTAATAGTTTGCAATTCTTCTTTTGAGAACTGTTTATTCATATCTTTTGACCACATTATTATGGAGAATTACATTTGGATTTACACATTTCTGTTATCTGTTTATAATCTTGTATGCCCTTATCAGAGATATTTTATACAAATATTTCCCAGTCACTACTTTCCTTTTTATCTTAGTTGCATTAATTTTGTTGGTACAAAAGCTTTTCAAATTAATCTAATCAAAATTATCTATTTTTAAATAATTATTTCTATCCAGGGTGTGTTGGAGCCAGCTCATACCCATTCTCCAGAACTTATTGTTAAGTTTTTTTTATTGTGAACATTTACATCTCATAAATCAGCAAATGCTATAATTAAGGGCTTGAGTTGTTATTTTTTTTTGCTGTTTATCTAAACTTAAGAAAGTGATGGAGAAAAGGTTAATAATGCAGATTAAATATAAAAGCATGTAGTTGTACACTTTTTGGGGGTGGGGGAGACAGTTCTTAAACATTTACTAGCACACTCCTGCCTCTATGCCTTGTTTGCTTAATAATTCATCCTCCTACCCATAGGTGTAAAAGATAACTAATCTGGTTGTCTTCTAATTTTTTTATAATATAACAGTTACCATGCCAGGTAATATATTCATTTTAAATGTATCATATTATATGGTTATCACAACATTTTGCAATAATATTTTGGTCTAATTTCTTACTGCTTTCCATTTTCTGAGTAATTCTTGTGAAGTAATAATAATTAGCATTTAAAGTTTGTAAAAGTGCTTCACAAATATTATCTCATTTTATCCTCACTATCACCTTGGAGATGGGTACTATTATTACCCTCATTTTACAGATGAGGAAACTGAGGCAGACAGGGTTAAGTGACCTGCCCATCACATAGCCAATAAGTATCTGAAGTCACATTTGAACTCAAGTCTTCCTGACTGGAAGTTCCATGCTCTATCTACTGCACTGCCTAGCTGCCTTTGTCAAATAGAGGGTTCTTTCCTAAGTCATTTATGTTTGGGGATTCACACACCAGCAGGTGGGTAAACCCAGTTATTTCTGATTCTTCTTTCTTGAGCCTCTTCCATTGATTTATTTTTCTGCTTATTAACTAGTACTACAAATATAGCACAGTGCTTGGCACATAGCGCTTAATAAATGCTTGTTGATTTGACTTGATAAAGGTTCAAATCCCATTTCTGACATTTACTAGCTTGTGCCCCTAAGCTAATCACTTAACCTGTCTCCAACCTCTGCTTCCCCATCTGTAAAATGGGGATGAACATAGCACCTGTCTCACAGGGTTGTTGTAAGACTCAAATAAGATAATACATGTAATATGCAA